TTATGACAATATCTGTAAAAATCTCCTAAACTAGTAAAAAGAACAACAATAATAATAATAATATTTATATTTATCGATTTTGGTTTACGGCAACGCCGAAAATAAGTAAAAAAGAAACGAAAAGTATTTTGTTGTATCCGTATTTATGCCTGACGAATGTCTCAAAATGCTTCCTCTGGACTTGATACTCGGGATGTAGATGCATTTTATTTACGAGAAAAGTTTTTCTCGAACGCTCAGTGCTCAACCGAATTATGAGCATTTTTCTTTTTGTTGTTTTAAATTCCTTAGCTTATGTCGTCGAACGTGGGGATCGATTACTTTCACGTTAAAACAAGTTGCTTGTTCTTGCTTACGAAACGCGATGTTCATCTCTCCCCTTTATACACAATAAAATTTTTAGATATTTATAGAGTCATAAACAACATTAATAACATTAATTAACGGCAGCGTATTGCAAAACTTTCTATTGAAAATTCTGTCTAAATTTATGAGTTGGCTTCACAGACATCATATAAAGTCTCAAAAATTGATACATGTTAATGGGGGTTGAAAGAATGAACTGACTAATTTACAGAGTAAGCTTAACCGCATAATGCAGATGTCTCCAGGTCCGGGAGAGAAACGCAAAGTCAGCGCCACGAGGGCGACTCGTCCCCGAGCGCCAGATGCTGATATCGTATAGATGGGAGCGAGGCCTGCGTAGAAAGAAGGCTGAAATTCGTCTCTGATAATGAAGAAGGGAATCTTGACAAATTGATGAGATACGCTACAATACGCAATAGCAAAGTCTTAATAAGAAACACTATCACCTTACTCTCACGCATATCTCCACAAGTTATAAGTTTTACCAAAATTAAGCTAACAATTTTGGTTTGTTTTAGCACTTAAAGGCATTATGCGATTTGTTTGTTCACCTCTTGATTAGAAATATCAAATAATATATGTCATCATTATGCTTCTACTTCATTTAAATTGGTATCGCTGTGAAAGTTCTCATCTATTGCAAGCGATTATACTACAAAAATTTCCTACAATTCCTTTCTAGATCGGTGTAACAAAGGAAATATGTTCTAATACTGGTAAAAGTATTATAATCGGGCATGGCCCGTCATTAAAATATCCTACACTGGCATACTTTGCATGCGAGCTCTTTTATGGGAGCGGAACCTGAATGTAAACTGACGTAGTCCAACGAAATTGACAAGGTACTGTAGGGACTACCAAGTCAGCGGTCACGAGTTCGAATCTCAGTGTAATAGACGATACTTTGTAAGTAGCTACATATATAGTCACAGTGCACTATAGTTAACTTTGCTGTGCCTTTTCATCGTTGACCTTTTTTGTAATGCCGTAATGGGAGGCGTTAATCGTAATAGTGTCGCTTAATTCGTCAAAATGTGCATTTATAGCCGAAATTGAATAAATAAATAAATAAATAAAGATTGCACTCTATCGCCATAAAAATACTTACTTTTCATGAGAGCCCTTATGCGGATTACGGCTCCCAAAATTGACGTACGTGGCAAAAGTTGCGGTTATGCTTTATCTCAAAATTACTACCATGAATAAATTCTTACTATGATATATTAAAAAAATTGGAATATTTTGTTATATAAAGCCTAACTTTTGTCGGGAACACTTATCCGATTATTCAAACTGTCCACATCAACTTAGTACATTGAATTGACTATCGTAACTTTTTTTCTTTTTTTTTAATGTAAAGCGTTGTAAGGTTTTCGCTCTAGAGGGAAAACACATCAATGTATCAAATTCAGTCAATATATTTCAAAAACTGCGACCTATCAGTTGAACACAAAAATACATGGTCAGGTATAAGTTCGAGAGAAACATCAGATGGACAAAGAAACAAGATTGAAGAAAATGGGTATATTTTGCCATTCGGTTTACCAAAGGATAAGCAGTAAAGTATTCTTTCTAAACCTATTGAATCTAAAGGCTATCACCTGCGACGTTTCGCTATCTTTAATTTTCGCGATTTTTTTCTCAATGTATTGCACGACTGTTTCCTGAATCGATATATATGAGACGTTTATTTAAATTTTAAACTTCGTACAGGAAAATAAAATTGGATATGAGTCGGGTCAAATGAAGCGCAAGTATTAAAATGATTATTATCACATGCAGTGGTAGCAATGTGGAATATAATTAAGTGAATAAAAATAAGAAGTTTGGATTCATCTCGTACCTGGTTTTAGATCATATATCTCTTACGAATTGTAATCGACAATTTTTTCACTGTTATGGATATGTGACTTATAGGGACCACCTTCGCGACATGAACTGCAAGTTGTTGTAACGTTTTGCGTACTGTTGAAGAGTTACATGTACTTGAAATTTTACACTATCATCCAAAGAGTTCAAAGAGTTAACATAACCCATCCGTATGCATTGTGCTTCATACTCTCAAATGTCCAAATATGCAAGTTTATGCATATAGTTGAATATACAACTTGCATGCATTACTGCACCAAACGAAATCAAATTGCGATAGGATTAACCTTTCAAGCATCATATGATTTTAAAATATTAAATTTTGTTAATTATAAGTAATACATTGTTATTGTTAAATTATGAAATATAACAAAAACTAATTTTGCTTAAAAAAAAAAAATAAACAAATTAACAAATAAACTTTTTGCAATCTTTTCTAATCTCTTTGCTGTTTCCCTAAAAGGAAATTAAACGTATTACCAACTTTTCCAGTGTTTTATGATTTGGCTGCAGCAATGGAAGGCAAGTTATGCGTCATAAATGTGCTATGCATTGCACTATAGCAGTAATGTATTGTGCATATTCAGTGTTCAGCTCTTAAGTTTATATATAACAATCTTTAACTTTAGAATCGGTAATAGTCCGATATCAGGTGGCAACGGTGTTCGATGCCTACTTGCATGTGCTATGAGTCGAAAAACACATATCTAATGTATTCCATCTATCTGTTGCTTTGTGGTGGTGGTGGTGGTGATGGTGATGGTGGCCATAATCGGAAAGATTATATTTGTCTCAGAGCGAGTCTCGATTATTTAAAAGATCAAATTAGTAAATTGAATTACAATATATTTTATTGAATACCTAACCAAGTTTATTACTGCCAGATGGTATTTGTTTTTAGCTCTGTATGGCTCTCGAAAATATTTGCATATTTGCATTGCACGTTTTCCCTATGATGAAGATTTTCCCACAAACATCATGCATACTCCCATCTTGTATCAAACTTTTTCAACAATCTTGATAAAGATTTTGGAATATTGTTTGCTCTGAAGTTATAGTTTCTATCATATTGGGAGGGGTATCATCCGTTTTGCTCAAAGTTGATATGTGGCCTCTATCTATGCATGCTAAACGTTAGCTTTCCATCAATTATGTTCCCATTTTAGCAGAAAGCGGCAGGCAAACGAACACTGTTAAGTTGATTAAGAGGTTTGCGTTAGCCAATCGGGTATGCTGGCGAGTATTTTTATTTGCCACGTTAGTTAAAAGGACGAACTTATATACTTATAATATAATGTATAGTAAGAACGCGTCCATTTCAAATTTGGCGCGAATATTTTTCAGGACTATCTAAAAACTCGACTACATCTTACTACTTAGGCTTCCATTAAGTTTCTTATGGTTTACTAATTTTAATAACGAATCTCATCTAACAATGCAGTGGTATTTTTGTTACAATTGTATTCGATATTAAAATTACTTTGTTTTTTGTCTTTTAAGTAAAAGGCTTCACCGAGCATGACAGACTTTCAACGTTTATGCTACGTGCAAAAAAAAGAGGAAAAAAAAAGACAATATTTGTACTCCGAAGAAGCGAGTGTTTACCTGCTATACTTAACTCGCGATTAATATTAATGTTGTTACATGCATATTTATATTATTACAACTTGATAATACATAAGAAGAAATAGTTCTCAAAATATTCGAAGTGCACCAAATCGAATGAAACTGTGTAAAATGAATGAACTTGGCTCTTTACATAGTAATCAATCGTGACAGTGCGAAAAGAAAATTGATTGCACATGGATGCGATTTTTCCCACAAAGTAAGCGCATTTGAAAGATTTCAATTGAATTACGACATAAGAGAAAAATGTAGAAAAATTCCCCCGAACCTTGACAAACCAAAAAAGCAAAAAGAGAAGATAAAAACGGAACTGATAAACTGCTTTCGTGCTTCGATCATTGCAGAGTAGTTACTGATTATTCCTTAGCAACGTGGATGGTTTTTTGCCCATGATTGCTTAAGAGAATCCATCACTTCTTTCTGACAGCCAAACTTTTTTGATACTATTTCCTTAACTTTCTTACCAAACACATCAATATAGTGACAACTGCGAAAAGTGAACATGAATAAATTCTGGCCATATGTGTCTTATTTGAATGCGTTTTACACTGCAATCTTTTCATCTTAGTTTCGTTTACAAACAATGCAACAAGCTATGTAAGTTAAAAGCTAAAGAATCGAAAGTCAATATTGTGAGTAAATCTAATTTTGTTTTTTTTTTTTTAAACATTTTTCTGTCCAAACATGCGATTCTGTCGATACAATTAACTGCAGATAATACACTTTCAAGTGATTTTTTCCAATCGATAACATACGATGCTAGCAGACTATTTGGCGGGACTTAAATAACGACAATGCTTATTGTGCTTGCGATAATAAAGGATATTCAATAGAGAATCCATCCAACCCCCTTATCGGAAATTGTGCCCATTGAGTTCAATTGCATGATAAATGTTAGAAGGCTTAAAATGTATGTACAAAATGAAATGTATAGATAGATAGATACGTAGGAATATAAAGAACTACTAACAACGTATCATTATAGTTAAAAATGTCAATAGTTTGTGTCGTGCAGAATGCAATTTCTTACAAAAAAAACCAAAATATCTTCCATCTTTATAAGAATTGCATTGCATAATCAATTTATAAGAATAATTATGCTTTTGATTGATTTTAAGTAAGTGTAAAGTAGCACTTACCACACATACATTCACGAATAGCCGCGAATTAATCCTTGATCATAAACCATGCAGTGGTATATGAATATTGAAAAGATAATTTTTGTTTTGTTTAATATTGAACGGAAGTTGTGTGTATTTTTGTTGATATCTTTCCTTTTTTTCTTTATTTTGAACGTTTTACGCAAGATACACGTTTGAAGGGTGGTATTTGGTCATTTAGGCCATTCAGCTGGCTAATAAATAACACTTGTTTCTATGCACAAAATATTTGTATTTTTTTTTTAGGGCTTTCGATTAATGGTTTCTTTTAAGCGTGATAATCATAATAATTGTACACAGAGGCTTTACGAAAATCTGCTCCTATATAATATAAACTAAAATATAATAAAACACTTTTTTATTTACACAACTATTTTTGTTTTTATAATAATTTTAAAAATTTCATCTCTTATATATATTATATATATTTTCTAACACCGTTTCTTTTATTCTCTTATACACACGAATTTCCTTAATAATAAAAAAAAAAAAAAAAAAAAAACAAAACACCATTTTCCTGTTTTATGTTTTTCCTTAACATTGAACATAATAACTCATCAGAGTATATTTTGCATACAAATACGAAACATGCAGAAGGCATTGAGAGTGAGAGAGCGCAAGCAAAAAGTATGTTCAGTTATATTTATAAAGAATGGTAGCCATGTTTGTTTTGTTTGCTTTGCTTTTTATATTCGATTGAAAACAAGAAAAATAAGAAGAAAAAGCGAAGCCACACAGATAATATTTTGTTAATATTACTGTTTTAATAGTCAAAGGAAACGCCAACAAAACGGAAATTGTTGATGACATTTAGTTTTGGGTAAAGAAAAAGCGTGAAATGATAAGCAGTAGATAAAGCAACTTAAAAAACGTACATGTAAGGAAAAGAAGAAGGCATAGGAAAGTAAAAAGAGGAAAAAATAAGTTAAAACAAGACACGCAATGACAACACGAAAACTTCGTATTAAGAAAAACAAAAGAAAACACCAAGAAAACTTTTTTCTTTTCTTTTGATTAGAAAATACATAATAAATGCTCCATGCATTTCTTTTTTCTCTCGCTGTACTTTTTATTTTGCATTAAATTTCTTTAATTAGAAATATGTATTAACAAGCAAAGAAAATAATTCATTTTTGAGATCTTTTTTAATAATTTGTTGAATTGTCTTATTGGTTTTCCTTTTTGAAAAAAAAAAAAAAAATAACTAATAATAATAATAATAATAATAGCAATATTGAAAATAGATGCGAAATATTTTTAAGGACAAGAAAAAATGGAAGTCAATTGATTAGTTTTAAAAACTAAATTAAATTTCGTATACACACGCACACTCGCTCATATATTCTTAGCGACACTAACAAATATAAAATAAATCTTCATCACCAAAAACATTGTGTTAAAACTCAATAAAGCAAAATCTGTAAAAAGAACAGCAGCAACTGTATGAACAAAATATTAATCGAAAAAAAAAAAAAAAACGCAAGTTGCTTATACTACACTCCCCTGCTCTTGCAGGCGAGAACGAACGCTCTTTTGAAATTTTGCAGTTTTCGATTCTGTTAAACTTTTTTTTAAGGCTGTTACTAACATTTAGTTACTCTTTTCAATAACAGTTTACTCTTTTCTAGCTTTTCGTGCAGAAAGAAACAAATGACAAATGTTTTGCTTGTATTTTGTTGTTGCAATTTTACTCAAATATTATTCCTCAAACATTACACCGGCCGTATAAAACCCACTTCGTCGGGGTTGAAAACAGAACTAAACTCTTCAATTGCTATTTGATAGTGGTGAAGCCGACGGTCTCGTCTATAGCTGACTGTTATTGTGTCTCATTAAAATCAAGTTGGCATAGTGCTGCTCTGTTCGTATTTTTTGCGTTTCGTTCTCTTCTGCAAACTTCGTGTACACGAAGTGTGTTTTCAATGTGTTTCTCTCCTTCTCCGTGTTTTCTGCCTATACAATGAACAGCTGTTACTATTAGCGGCAATACGGCATTTATTTCAGCAATTGTTTGTAAATGTGTATGTATAGGGTATAAATATTATATATTAACTCTGTTGCTTACTTGCGTACTTTTTGTTGTTATTGTTTAAACTTTTACAAAAAAAAAAAAGAAATAAAAAAAAAAATAAAAAAACAAATAAAAAAGAATTATTTTCACCAACTACGACCGGCTATGAAAATAGAGTTTTACTCTCTTTCTCTATTCCGCTCAATTTCATTGCAATTCTACCCGTGTTAAATAAAAATTTGATTTTCCGTGCATTTTTTCTTCAAACTATCCTTTTGCAATAATTTTCATTTTCAAGGACATTCTTTTGTCGTCGAACGTGTAATATGCATACATGCATGCATTCAAAAGAGATTGCTGTTTATATTAATTGTTATTTCAATCGCTGTATATTGTGTGTGCATATTCGTTAGATGCTATCCATTGTTACATAGTTTTTGGCCTTTAATGCTATTTGCTGCTTTCTTTTTTATTATTTTTTCGTTATTAACCCCTTTCATCCTATACACCTCTATAAAGAAGTTTTCATGTATTTTTTTTATTTTTTTATTTATTTATTTTGACTTACTTCGGCAAATCGTTTTTGCTTGTCTGTATATCCGTTGAAGAATTTTTTTTCTTTTTTTTGTTTTATTTTCATTGTTTTTATGTTGTGTCGGATTTGTCGTTTGCGTCGTTTAGTTGACGTTACTCTTCTTGTTTTCGTTTTTTTGGTTATTTTTTATATTTCATTTCAGTTTTCATATTTTAATTTGGCTTAAAACGAGGTCATTTGACACTTTTGTGCATGCACTATGAGTAAAAAATATGATTATTTATATATAATAAATGGCAATTTGTTTGTACATACAATCTCACATATATATTTGCTTTTATTGTTAACTTTCGTTTTATTTGCTATTTTCGGATAAATAAAACATAATATGAATTAGCCAGACTATTATTATAGCAATTAAGGATTTAAGACAAAAAAAAAAAATTTTTTTTTTTTACTCCTTATAAGCTTTCATAGAAATTTCAATTTGAGGACGTTATGCTGTGAGCAAACTACTCCGATTAACGGTGTAAGGCAGTTTCTTTTTTTTTTATACTAATTTTGGTTTGATAATTGCGTCTTAGTATTTGCACGTGTTACTCTCATCACTTTGAAAGCCTTTATGTGCTTTATATGACATATGACCTTTTTACCCCTGCTTTCCAGATCGCAATACTAATTATTCATGATCATCGCTGCAATTAATTTGGGTTAATATAACGTTTGGTTAAATATGAAAACATATTTTTGTTTTCCGAACGGATAACAAATAATCGATAACGATGGTTAAATAATGGATAAAATAATACAATGTATAACTGGGAACGCATTCATATAATAGTTGACTTTATAGGATTTTCAGCTGAGATTAATTCATCTACATTTAAAAAGCATTCATATTTTATTGCAATACTGAATCCTGAAAGTTACCATTATTGGAAAATCGCTTTATTACTGCATGTGCTGAAGGCGTTACATTTTTTGAGAACTAATTATTTAATTTATATGTGAAATGAAATCTATGTATGCGGCATTTTGCGTTAAGCTTGGGTTAGATTGGTGCATTATTTAACAATATATTATTGCATTCCAAGTTATCCCAATTCTATTAATTGGTAGTAAAAGATAGGTAGGCTCTAGCTTGGTGTGCAAAAGAAGTACAGCTAATACAAACAAATAAGAATATTATAATCGGGCATGGCCAATGGCTAGGTGCCCTACACTTATTCACTCGTTTTGGTAATAATGTATCAAAAATTCGATATTATTTTCTTGAGAAGGCGTGCACATTTTTTACGAAGGCGCGCAATCTAGAAAATCAATTTTTGTTGCAACGATTTCGTGAGAGGATATTCAACGAATTGCCCGGGCCGAACCATATATCTGATATCAATAGAGAATGTCAAAATACTATTTATTACTCAGCGAGTTTTGTCAAGAAATTTTGAAAATTGCCATTTTCTTGCACATAACGCTTTTTTCAAAATAAGTCGTTATATGGGAAATGGTCGAGAAAGTGAACCGATCCGTATCGTTTTCAGTAGAATTCGTCATTGAACCAAATTTCATCAAGATATTTCGAAAATTTGCGACCTATAGGTTGAACAAAAATTATCTATGGACAGACACGTTTAGATCGATTCACAAAACGATTCTGAATCGATCGTTATAACGAAAGGCTTGTCTAATTTAAACGTCTTTGGATGTTACGTATGTCCGCACAAAGTCAATAGACCTTGTACCACAAGTGGTGTAAGGTGATATAACGAGGCAAGCAAATGCTTCAAGAATTTTCCGATGCATCAACATCCTCTGATGACTTCCGTCTTTCATATCTCCATTGCTGAACAATTTTATACTATCGTAATTTAAAATATGACCACAAAATTCGTTCATTAATTTATTTTATTTTCCTTTTATCAACTTGAAGTTGCCTGTTATACAGCTATTGTTTACCATGCAAGAAAATATCATCCCATGCAAGGGAAGACTGAAAAGGTAGAGTGCAAAACAAAATATGCTTGTGATGAAATCAATTAAAATCAGATAAAAAGCTTAATTTATCATAAAAACAAAAGGAGAAAAAAGAAAAAACACATTTTTATCACGTCTTATTATCTTACATATGTATGTATATATTGATTGTATCATTATTAAAATAAAAAAATGTTTTTATTAGAAAAACGAAAGCAAATAAAAAAAAAAAAAAAAAACATTTAACCGATTAGAATAGAAGCAAGTCTTCGGCAAACACCTGCAGCGGCAGTTGAGAGATTCGTTCGAAAAAACATCGTCACAGCGATACAAATATTTAGAAGATTGAAAAACGATCGTTTTTAAGTTATCGCGTATATAAATGTAAGTATACGGTAAAAACTTTTATATATAAATTGTGGAATTTGGATAAAACACAAGATCAGTTACAAAATTCTTAATTGTACATATATATATATTGAGTAAATTTTATAATGATTAAAATGATTTACAACAAGTCATCCATTTTATCTTTAATTAACTTTACCATAAACATTACGCTATACATAAATAAATGTTTGACTGAAAATTTATAGTTTTTATAGCGGATATTTTCGCAGCTCTCTCGCATATCGGACAATTCTTTGACTCAATCTACAACGAGCTTTTTCATCCCAATGTCAGCTATCAACTAACTAAATCATCCTGACATGCGTAGTGATTATCTTCTATTGTGTAATGAATGCAACCTCTTACCTATGGGGACAGACAGGTATGCTCTGCTTGCTATACGAATCTCAATTGCGATAAACGAAATGTCGCAAAACTGATGGCATTTGTTGTTAATCTTACTAACAGCTAGACATCATAGCGAGAAAAACCTTTCGCGATGCCAAGCAACCGATTTAACAACAAAATGGTTTTTCGTTTAACGACAAACTAGACCTTTTCATCGAATACCAAATTAAAGATTTTTATAAACACTCACTGCCTTAACTAGCAAGTGCGAGTGTCATCTATCGATATATATGTTCAATGGACTACACGATTTCCGATAGAAGGGCGCATAAGGATTGAATGTATATGCAAAAGAACCAAAACGTTTGAAAATTAATCCACCTTTTCGTGATAACTCAAAAGAGCTCTTGAGAGTAGATTTTAGTTCTTTTGGTCATCGAACTAAATTGGGGACACTCAGATGGTATCGGTCAAGAATCAACCCATATGGCGCCATATATTCAACAATTTATTATATAAATAAAATTGACTTTTATTCCCTTACCTAATGAATGCAAGGCAATTTTAGATGGAATGGGAGCGAGCATTCATTACGAGCATTCTCTCCAATGAATATGAAAATGACAAATGACCTTGCACACGACAATGTCGAATTTTTAATATTTTATGATCAACGATGATAAGTCCAAGATAATGGTTTGACATTTCGCCCGCCATGCCGTATAAGGTTTCTCAAGGAAAGTAAGCATTTATATAACAGCAACAAGAATGTGTTTTGTTGTATCTTATGACATATAATAATAGCGGAAGAATGATACGTGCTTGGACAAACATGTAATATAACGTAATTCACATTATAAGTGCACTTTAATAAATATTTCATCATTTTATGAAATTCGTAAATTTTATTAAATCCTTTAAATTGTAATATGAAAACGAGGTTGCTTACGAGCAAAATAAAAGCAATGCAAAGCTTCTAAATCGAATATGTTCGCTCACATTAAGTGTTAGGTACCATTGTAAATTTTCGAGGAACTTTTTATTTTTATTTTATTAACTTAACGGATAGATGCTTCAAACATTGTCGAATATATTGAAAATAAAGTTGATCACCTGAAAATTCTGGGCTTTTTCTCCAAAAGCCACCAACAGACTGACATCGTCAAATGAATTCCTACTGCCAAGTTACACCCTAGTATCTTGTGCGTGCATTTCTTTTTCTGACTTCCCTAATATATTAAAAGAAGATATTTTCAGGAAGTGTTTA